AATGCATTCTCATGCTGACGTTGCGAAATTTTAATTTTTTATTGTAATGGCATAGTCTTCTGTTGTATCACTTTCACATATTTCGGAGTTATTTGGCAATATGTAAGTATTGCATGTTGGTGTGCAGCAACATGACTCTTCTTGACTGTGATGGTAAAGACTTTAAAATAAATAGCAAATGATTCAGACATTCTCTGTTGTCTTCCTGATACATAGCTTCCTAAAGCTAAAATATGAAACTATTGAGACTTTGTCATTTTAGGTTTTAGAAATGATACTTTGGACCAAAGTTACACGTCACTCCTTTTAATTATATCTTCGTTATATTCGGAATTTTTGGAGAGATATTGAAGGATGATACATTGAATTAGCATACACTTGAATCTTCCATGTACTTGAACATTGTTATTGATTTGTATTTAAAATTCTAAAAGTATATCCCATTGCTTTATGTATTACTATGTTTTATGCAAATCGATATTTTTTGACATTCATATCATCTACTGCAAGCAAAGTTATAGCTTTGCTAGAGTAAAATTTGGATTTAATAACATTTATATATATATATATATATATAAGAATTTAGTTAATTCAGATGAAGTGCTGCTAATTTCATAACTATTTGTTCTTCTTCTTCTTCATTTCTTTTTCTTTTACGACTTTTTCGCATCGACAGTGAGGTCATTAGTGACTACGGCGATATTAAATATGTGAGTAGTAGTTTGTGTTGTTGAGATATTTTAAAACTCTTTGTACGTCATTTTGAGAAGATGTATGCCTGAGTTAAGTCCATGTCTCTGACTTTCGGCTTCTGTGATGTGGCATTCGTGCAGAAGTGGGTGACTGTTAATGGGTGGTTATAGCAATGGCTGCAGATGAGAGGTGCAGTTCTATTTTGTGTTCGTGTGTCAGCTTGGTATGACCAGTACTTAGGCGTGTGATATTTATTGTTGCTAATGTTTGATGTTTATTGGAAAGGCTCGGATACTTTTGTGTAGTTCAGTGCTTTTGGTTGTGATCCATGTATTGTTTCATTCATTTTTTACTACTTCTTTTGCAGTGGATTATTTGGTCTTCATAGGGGATTTTGGAATTGGGTGAGAACGGGGAGATTGGAAGGTGGTTGCTGTTGTTAGTAAGTAAGCAAACTGTGGCTTCTTTCGCTGCTGCGTCGGTTTTTTCATTTCTTTCTATTCCTTGATGAGCTGGAATACAGATGACTGTTGTTTTTGTGTTAGGTTGGTTGTGGTTTAATTCTTGGATTATCAATTGGTTATCTTGGTTATATGATTTCGTTAAGGATTTTGTAACGCTCATGGAGTCGGTGTATATGACGAGCTAGGCTTCGTTATTTGAGTGTGCATATTGTAAGACTTCCAGAATAGCATAAATTTCGGCTATAAAGATGGATGATGAAGAGGACAGATTTTGTGTTTTTATGGCTTTTTCTATAGTGATAGCGTATCCAGCTCCAGTGTCCATTTTAGGATCAAAAGCTGTTGTTTAATTCCAGGAATCGGGCCCTGTGGTCAGTTGGATTAAGGATTTTTTTGGGGAGTTCGGCAAGACTGGTGTTTGTTGGGAATGCTTCTATTGTCCATGGAGGGATTTGTGGATGGGGATGGATTGGATGACTTTGGTTTGATATAAGAAAAGGAGGGAATTTTGGGTTTACTGATGTGGAGAGTTTTGTATCTATTGGAGAAGATATTGTTGTAAGAAAGGTTATTTGGAGTGGATGAGACTTTAATTGCGTATTTAAGGGTTACGAACTTTCTTTTGGTTTCAGGGGCCATTTCTTTGGCTTCGAACAGTAGGTTATTTATGGGGCATGCACGGTATGCACCTGTGACTGGTCTTAGAGCTAACTGGAAGATTGGTGCTATTATTTTTTTGGTGCTGCTTTTGGCTGAGTTATAAACGATAGAGCCGTGATCTTGTGGATCTAATTAACATTCTATAAGGGTGTCTTTTCTAAAAGGGTGTCTTTATCGGCTCCCCAGTTGGAAAGAGTTTTTATAATGTTAAATCTTTTTATGACTTTCTTAGAGATTTTAGGTATAGACTCTCTTAAAGATTTTAGGTATGGCACCCAAGATAGTTTTTGGTCAAAAATAAAGCCAAACATTTTTGTGGTGTCTGTGAAATTTATTTCAAAATCATTCAGATATAGTTTAGGTCGGAGTTTGAATTTGATTTTCTTAGTGAATAGCATAGCTTGGGTTTTTTAGGCTAGTTGTTTTTTACCAGTAGAGTATTGATGACTGTTTGTAAATGTTCGTTTATGGAGTGTACATTCTTCCCGCTCCATGTGATTGTAATGTCATCTGCAAATAACTGGGTTTTTATTGGTGGTTTGAGGTTATGGTTATTGATGGTGATGTCGTTAATTCCTATTAAAAATAGTGTGGTGCTCATTACTGGTCCTTGTGGGACTCAGTTTTTTATTGTAACTGGATGTGACAGAGATCCATTTGCTCTGACTTGGATTGATCTATTAGATAGGAAATTGGTTATGAAAGATAGCATATTACCATTTACTTTTACTCGATGAGGGAATTAATAATTTTGGTTCTCGAGATTGTGTCGAGGCATACGGCGGCTATATATTTTCCGTTGAGGAAGGCGTCGCAGATATTAGATTCCAAGTTCGTCGATTCCAAGGAGATCAATGATAAAACGACAGAGTCGGAAAACGTATTCATTTGGGTTTAAAAGTTTTTTTACTTTAAAGTATCATCGAAGCCTACGATTTATGATTTTTTCCAATAATTTGTACATGATGTTAGTTAATGCAATTGTTAGGGTTTTGTTTGCTTTTGTTTAACTTAGGAATTGGAATTACTATTGCTTTTTGCCAATTTTCGGGGAAAACTTTATGGATCCATATACAGTAGAAGATCTTTAACAAGTAGTTTATTTCTGGGAGCATTTTTAGTAGTGAGTTGGGGGTATTATCTGGTCCAGAGGCGGAGTTTTTCGATGATGTAAAGCTGGAGCTTATTTCCTTGAGTGTTAAAGGTGAGTTTAGTAATGTGAATCTGATCATGGTGTATATGGTTGTTGATTATTGTAGGGTATGGTGAGTTTATGTTATTTGAATTTTCTTGGAATTTTTTGGCTAATGTATCAGCAATGTCGTGGTCCTGATTTACAGCCCTGCTATCATCAGTTTGTAAGAATTGAAATTTGTAGGGGATTTGGATCCATTTATGCATTTGATATTTTTCCATACTACAGATGGTGTTTGTGGTTTTATCGGTGATATGTAGTTCCTCCATGATTGTTTTTTATTTATTTTCTTTAATTATTCTACGGAAGTTGGCGCGTTGCTTTTTGAACTCGGTTAGGTTCTCGTTTATGGGATGTTTTTTTTTTGCTCTATTGAATGCGTGATGAATCTCTTGCGATTTTGCATTCTTCCCTCACCACGGTACAAGTATTTTCCTGATTTTTTGAAGTCTGGGAGTTCCAAAGGCTTTGTTTGCGGCTGAGATTAAGATTTGTTGAAATTTGTTTATTGTTTATTGTTTCACTGGGTCAAGTTCAGGTTCTGTTTCTTTCTCGATGAGTTGAAGCGTTATGTTTTCTTGATATACTGATCAATTTGTTTTTCTTATTTTCCATTTTGATTGGTGATAATTTTGAACTGTGGTGATATTGTCTCCATAGGTGATTTTTATGTTGAGCTATTTGTGAACTGGAAAAGGTAGATCTATTGCACTTGATTTAGTATTCCTAGTGCTAAAGTGTATGGGGAACCTGTCTTTAGCAAAATTAAATCCTGGTTGTTTAGTAGATTTTCGATAGTCTTTCCTCTACTGTCAATTCTGGTCGATCCCCTGATGGTTATTAAAGTCTCGGACAGGATCAGTAGTGCTGGAAGTTAAGCTATTAATTCTTCAAGGATTTGCAAGTCAAGGGGGAAACTGTTTGGAATGTAGACATTGCAGATGTGGAATGAAATAGATATTGCGACGAACGCTTCTAAGTTTGAATTTCAGTAGAATCATATTTGTCCGAAATTACAATAGCTACTCCTCCGCTGGCGTAATTTACGTTTGCCCGATTTTTAACGAAGGTATTGAAACGTTTTAGTGTAGGCTGGTAATTCTTTTTGAAGTTCGTTTCTTGGAGGCAGATAATAGGGACGAATTTGTTTACGAGAATTTGGATTTGTTCATAGTGCGTATAATAGCCTTTTATTTTCCACTGTATTATTGTTTTCATAATGAATTTGGGTGAGTTTTGGATTTGGAATTTGTTGTGATTCGATGTCGGATTCAGAACAGCTAAATGACGATTCCAATTATCGGTCGGCTTAGTGAGTTTTTTACAGAGTCGATGTATTCTATTTTTTATGCTTTTATGATAGGGATAGATTTCTTCAAGAGTTTGAACAGAGATCGGAATATTATCAATATAGTTTCTTGCGATTTCCAATGGGTGAGCTGGTCCGAAGATGTCTTGGAGGAGATTTTTGAGAGTAATTTAGCTGAGAGTGCGAAAGATTTTTTTTTTCTATTATTTCTTTTGCCGGGGCCAGTATTTCCTCTAGTTTGGCGGAATTGAAAACTGGAGATTAGGAGGGAGGTGGTTTCTGTTTGGTTAGTACAAGTTTTTTTCATGTGGCTGAACTTTATCACTGCTACCTTCCGTCTTACAAAGCATTTAACAGGCATGAGAAGTCGTTTGGTGGAAATTAGGAGAGCTTATTGTAAATACAAAAAATGACTAATGTAGAAAAACCAACTGGATACATTTGATGGGTGTCCGACTTCAAATGTCTCTGTTGAATTTCACTAGCGAAAAATGCCTAATACACATTTCTTTTGGTGCATTCCTTGATTTAAAAACTTTCTCATCAGTTGGATGCCATTCCTTATGAATGTTCACCACCTTTGGCCGGTACCAATCAATGTTCAGGATCACCATAGTTAATAACTTTATAGAAGTGTCAGTGTTTCACTGTTTTTTAATGGGTTCGGCAAAATTGTACAAATTGATAAGAAGTTTGGAAAAAGGAATTGGACTCAATAAAATCGTACTGCGAAATTAAGAAGTATAGAGAATGGTGGACTATTCAGAAAATTGAAGAGACGTATTCATTTAAATTAACAGTCTGAAAAATGTGAGAAATCGTACGTTATAACATGTTGGACATCATAAAAGATTATGTAAAAAAGTATAAGCAAGTTGTGTCAAGTTATGACAGAATTCTTGAAAAAAAAATGGCTGATGAGTCCCTTTTTTATAAAGTTTTATTTGTCATGTTTCTAACTGAAGCAGAATAAGTATCGTCGAAACGGTCAGTGAACAAAATTACACACAACTAATGCTAAATATCCTATTACAGCTAAAAAGACGATTAAACCAAACACTTGAGCAATCTGATGTGCCCAGTACAAGCTGAAATAAAGAAATGTCATTAAACGAATATTCAATGATATTATCACAATTACACCTACTTTCATATTAAGATATTTCGATACGTACAATGATAATCGTCGCGCTGCGTTCACAGATCGAGAGTTTTCTTTTAGGATAAATTTCTTTATTCCCATTTGGTAATTCGTGATATACTTCTTCCAATCCATATCTTGTAGATCTAATTTCACGATATTGCCATCTTCCAACGTTTTCACCTTCCTCATCATTTCAGTAATGTTATATCTGTGGAAAGTCCATTCTCGCGTGTCAAAGTATTCAATCGCTATAAGCAACTGATTGAGGTAATTGTTAATTTTCATCATCCTAGAATGCCATTTTTAAATATTATTATTTTTAATAAAACAGGGTTTATTGTAGAAGATATTGTTTTATATACGGACGGTTGCTCGTTATTTGTCAAGCAATAGAATACTCACGTTGGTCTCTTATCCCGAAGTTTTAAAAAAGTATCCATGATAAATGCAGGCAAAATATGAAGAAATATATTTAGAACATTATACACATATCTGTTAGTCAACAGTATACAAAATGGATACCATAATACATTGTTCATTGGTGTTTTTATGCAACATTCAACGTAGATATCTTTCAGCTGACCCCATCTTAGAAAAAAAACATTGATCGAATTATATTCAAAATAGAGAATGTTATGATAATGCGAATAATTAGATAATTTCAATTATGTTTCCAAATTTATATTTTTCTAAACCGAGATATCGAGAACGGAAGTGAATGTGAGCACAAAATATTTAATGCAAGTGCAACAACTGATATTGTAACGAATTTGATATTTCTGTAATTAATACAATTTACTGGAATAAATCAATTTTATAAACATACATTCGAAAAATATTTCATTCTTCTCAATATCTAAATTTTCGTGTCAGGTATGTATTCTTTAAAACGATGATATTTTTTTCACTATATGCCCCAAATAAACGAATCTTTGAGACATTTTAATAGTCAAATTATATTTATTAATATAATTCTGTACTAAATGTATAATTCTTACTTGAGAGGGGATGCGTTACTCGTACAATTGTAAACTTTAGTTTTAGTATCACAATCCAGAGTAACATGCCATGCGGCACACATTATCGTATCGATCACATAATCAATAGGTACCACGTCCAATCTTGCGTCTTTGTTAATTATCATTGCTCTTAAAATACCTCTGCCGACTTGTAGAAAGACAGCTGTAACATGAAAATTGTTCTTTTATTTATCGAAAAACTGAAGAAATGACTCATAAAACTACAAACAAAGTTCAATGTGTCATCAATTGTATCATCAATCAATTTTGATCTTCACATGTATCATCAAGCTCATTCTCCTGACTTCTGAATTTCCGAGATGAATTTTATTCGTCGTTCCTTGTTTGTTAAAGAGTTAAAAACTTCAAATCTATAGTTGTTTTGTTCCATATGAATTGGGATTAGATTTAACATGAAAGGTGCAAATTGAAATGATTATTTGATATTTGTTAAAATTGTGCAAGCAAACGAACTACGATTAGTAATAATGAATACTATATCGAAGAGCATTTCATCAGAAAAAAATCAAAACAGAATTAATTATTAGAACTTTAGTGTTGTACTAGTATGTACGTTTAACACGTACATATTAGTTCAAGAACCAAGAATAAACACGAAGCGAACAAACAATGAACGAAGACACGTATTCAAACTGCTTTCATGACTTAAAAGCACGAGTGTCACCTTCTTCCCGAAATGAACATAGTCTAACTCAAATCCAATTTTAATGTAACCAAATTTTGCCCGACAGTAACACAAACCTAATTCTAATTCCACTAGAAATATGTTTAGTTTGGATTAAATTTGTAATGAGAAGATGATGCAGATTTCCTCGGTTGCCTTCGTATCTATTTCTTTATATCCGTATTATGCTCAGATAAATTTTAATATTTCGCAAATAGTTTTAAAGAAATTTTGTATCTGACATGACGGAACAATATTTTTAAAAGATAAAGGTTTCCTTTTAGAAGTCCTCCTTCTTACAGCCACACTTCTCAACTAGAAAATTTACATCAGCATGTTACTGATGTACGATCAAACGTATACATATATTGCAACCTCTAGTCCAAGGTGATTCAGTAGAAAAAGCTGCAGTAAATGAGATTTGTTGATGCTCTTGAAGCAAAATAATTGGAAATAATAAAATTTTGTCAGCGGCATTGAAATCTTTGTGTATTAACAATATCATCATTCTTCTCAAGTACATAGAAAATATACAAAAAGAGACAAATTGTGGACCAATTTTTGAAAATTTAAATTTCTTAGTCCAGGTCATTTTGATACTAATGAGAGTGGTATAAATAAGAATAAAAGTTTGAGATTGATCAAAAGTGTGAAAAAATAAATAAACTTGAATGGTACAAGAATGGTCATTGAATAATAATAACTCGAAAATCATTGACAGAATATCATGGTACTATTGATGTTATCTATAGTGTGTCCAATTATAATGAAAATGAGCAAAATGAAAAAGTAATCCATAAGGTAGATGTTGCAATTTGAAATCGATGTTTATATTGTTCAGTACAACGCGATGAACGCAATAAACGCAACGAATAAAGATTAAATGTGAGTGAAAATATAATACAGCACTTTTAAGTGAAAAATTAACAGAATGAGAAAACCGTACATCCAAAACAATATAAATTGATGTGATATTATCGGGTAATTAGGATATATAGATAATACATTGTAATTGTAAAAATGTATCCCTACGTATCTATATTTATATGACGGGAAGAAATTTAAAACCAAAGTCATATTTTTAAAAAACGTTCTCATTTTTCCATGTGTATCGATTGTTCGAATAATCCGAGTTGTTTGTTGTTGATTACGCTGGTTAATCAAACGCTAGAAAACTATATATAAATTTATGCTAAAATAACTATTAATAATTATCTATAAAAGTACCTGTAGCTCCAAAGACATTGTCCACCCAACCAGGACATGGTTCCTCTAACGAAGCACCAATTATACTTGGTCGCACTATCGCAACTGGTAAACAATCGCAATTGTTGGACACTATCTGTTCCGCCAGATTCTTCGTAAACGTGTATGTATTTGGATAAATTTTTAGAATTCTTTCTTCTAATAGGTCGATCAATGTTTTGTCCTCAATTTCACATATATCTATCACCGTAGAAGGTGGAAAACACGTACTGCAAAATCATTAATAACGAATGAACATATTTGTGGAGCTGTAATTCTTATGAACTTATTGATTTCTACCAAACATATAAAATATAAAAAATAATTTACGTGTAAACTTTTTCCTCTATCTCTGATAAATGTGCATTGCTGTAAGCTGTGCTAACGTGGACGACGCTAATTACATGCTTTAATTCCTTGCACAGTTGGATTACGCGAGCGGTACCTTTTGTATTTATATTAACAGCCACATTCAGAGGTTCATTAAATCTCACAGTAGCTGCAAGATGGAACACAATGTTCACTTTCTCTATCAACATAGTCCTATCTGCTGGCGAAAGACCTAAATCTGGTAGGCTCACGTCACCCTGTATGAGATGAATCCTGCTCAAAAGCGAGGGATGATTTACTTTGATGCTGTCATAAATCTGAAGATGAAAACATATAAAATCAATTCTCTGAAAGTGTATTGTTTGTAATGTTCTATGTTCCACTAGTTTTTTTATTTTTCTGGCGTTTTATATACGCATTTTATTTTTTATACACAATAAAAAATTGTATTCAAATCATTTCCTCTTATTTATTTTTTTATTTTATTTACATTCACTTCTTTTTCTCAAGATGAACTTCTTATTTTCAAAATATTCCTTTCTACTTTGGTATAAGAATGATAAGATAAATAATTTTTTAACATCTGCAATACGAAACAAAATTATAACTTTAGCATCACAGGATTAGTTGAAAATCCTAGTGGAGATTGAAATGGAGAACTATCATCTTGCGAAAAATTTTTCTTTGTAAAAAATGAAAATGGAATTAATTAGCGATTCGTTCAAAAGTTATATTGATCGCTATAAATTCAAAAAGTGGTGTAGTTGATGTTGTTCTAAGGATTCTCAGAGTTAACATAAGTTAATTAAGTTAACATATAAAGTTAATTCTCCTTCATATAGAACTGTTTCACGACTAAGAACTCTGGTGGAGTGCGAAATATGTTCGTTCAAGACACGTATTCTAATATTGCTTTTTTTATGTTTTTTAACATGTTTTTAATATTTAGGAAATATGTGTCTTAAAGCAAAGGAGAAAATCAAGAGAAAGAAATTGTATTGCAACTTTGATTGTCGGCATTAATTGATAATTACATTTAGTATGTTTTTGGTGTTGAGTTTAATCAGTGTTTGTACCAAAAGTGTTGATCACTATTCTGTAGTAAATATCCTCATAGAAATACGATTGTTTCTTGAAATTTCATTAGCAAATATATTGTATATAACCTATGTAATGAAATTAAAAAATGAAATAATAACACGAAAAATGAAGTTCATCAATTTGGCTGCTAAAAAGCTACGATGTAAAAAGCAGTTACAATATTATTTACATACTGGATCATCAATGAGCTCCTTAAATCGTTGTTCTATCGTTTGGTCCTTCTTCGGACGAATGAGGACATAAATGGCTGCGATGTTTGGACATACACGCATTAGTTTCTCCAAGATGCCTTTCCCTATAAAACCTGTCGCTCCAGTCACCAAGATCGCAGTATTATCATAGAATGCTCCGATGGAATTCGCTTTATACGGTTTTACACTAATATTATTTTCATTAGCTTTTATGTTCATTCTATACATGTTGCAGGCTCTTCAGTGGCAATATCTGCAACTGAATAAAAAAAAAAAAAATGAACGATACGACAATAAGAGACTTGTCACTTTTATTAAATCTCTGTATAGAGTAAACAATGTAACTTTAATCACTTAACATCGAAGTCGTTAAGGTTTGGAAAGTTGTGGAAAATATTATTTAGTACAATAGGGCTCTAATGCAACAGCAATAATTTTTTGCAAAATCCATGAATAATGGAATGCCTAATAACACCTACGACACAGTGGACGTTTATAATTGCATTTGAATTTTGTTTGAATTTTGTCACACGTTGAATGCCATGTTGAGGCCACCGGTGACTGGCGAATCGAAGATTAATAAAAACACGTAATTCGAGTAAGTACTTGTCAATTTTTCAGTATTAACTTCGTTACTACAATAGTGTGAAAAAATTAATGCAGTACAAAGCATACAAAAATTATTTTATTTATAATATATATGCGTAAATATTATTCGCGCATACTGTATTATATATCGCAAATCAAGAAAATACACAAATCTTCACAATGTGACGATTTTCTTGTACAATTTTTCGCCTTCTACTTCTAATTATTTTGAATTTTCTGAATTTACCGAAAGTGTATATTTTAGTTTGCATACTTTGTATGAATTTGCATACGTGTATATTACCTGAAAAATTACGAAGCGAAAATAAGCAAGATGAGTCTGCTAGTGGATCAAAGTGTTAGTCTTGAAAGTATTTAATTCAAAGATCATAACATGTAATAAAAAGCAAAACAGGGATAGTACATAATATATTATTTATAAACGATAGTATGTTAGGCTTTCACATCGGCTTTAATCGTTAAACGTATGTAAATCTGCTACAAGCAGTAAAATATTTATAACAAAAATTAAAGATGTCTAAATTATAATGCAGCAAATGTATAATAGTGATGAACTGGATTGCATCTGTAAAAAATAATTATATTGTTATGGAGGGAGGAATTGTCGTAAAGCATGCGATAAAGGTATTAAATGTAGAGGCAGGATATTTCAACTATACATTCACGTATGATGTACACAGATGTTGAAGAACATAGGAAGATTACTTTTGTTACAGTGATCTACACTAACCTGCAAGATAAAATCAGTATGTCAAAGAAAGATAATATTTAAAATTGATATGTTGCTAGCTGTCACTATGTCTCGACGATGTCTTATCAATAAATTATGGAAAGATTTATTAAATGAATACACCAAACAAAATGTTTTAGATGAATCTACGAAAAAATGATTTAGAAGATTGTTACAATTTGTTTATATTTCATATTCAAGAGAATATTAGTGTTTGTATTTTTGCTGATAAGGATATAGACGCCAGTTTTTGTTGCATTGCAACTTTAATTGTTGCAAAGTTTTGCGAGACTGAGAGTACACAATTTCAAGGAATTGTTTCAAATAAATCGTACATAGTACAATTCACCAATAAAACAGTAAGAGTCCTATGGTCAAGTGAATTCGAAGATAAGAGTTTGTCACAGATGTAATAAGACATGTTAGAGTCGGGAAGCATTTTATTACAATAACTAGGACATTATTTCTTTTTCAAAAATAATTAATAGTTAATATATGCACGTTTCCTCACATATATTTTGCATACATTTTGATTATATCTCACGTATAGTTTGTATTCTTAGATATATTATATTTATATAAACATTTACAATTTAACAATAAGAAATTTAACTTTAATATTATTATACGATTTCATGAAATTTTGTATGTTTATAGATTTACTAACAAAGAAACATACCAAAGTCGGAATTACCGATTTTGATAAAATTTGGCATGAATGTAGTTTTCAAAGAAATATTTGATCCGTATTTTATTTTAATGGCCGATGTTGAAGGGATGAACACTACTTTCGTAGATGCGAAACATATTTTGTCAAATATTTAGGAATTTATTGAAGATACTGTTTTTGTGTAAATTGATGAAATTATTGCTTTTTAGCGAATTTAACGGTGTATAAGGCTGTTAAATTTTTCTGCAGAAAAACCTTTTGTTTAAACAATATATTAGAAAAACCGCATTTCTCATAAATATTTCCAATTGAATGTTAACAAATGTTCTCGAATATTTGTTTATGAATGTCTATATATTCAAACACAAATTACGGATAAAATGGAATCTTGAATTTTGCATTATAAAAAAATTCATGATTTTCAAATATTTCTCGCCAGACGTGCAAAGCAGAGTATATGCTAGAATTATTCTCTGTTGGTAAATATATCTTAAAATACTATTATATTTTAGTTCTGTAAATATCTGATTTTATTGTTCACTACTTATTGCTTTTTTATAGTAAAATATTTGTATTGTGGATAAATGAATGGAAGGTTAGCCCGGTACCTGTCTTAACGGTTTTAACGTGCTGGCAATGCAGAGATTCAGAGTTGTAAACGAAATTTGTTGTAGGATTGACTTCTTTTGATTGAGAGAAAAATTTTGTCTGATCTGGCTATATCAATTTTGTGTCACAACTGTAATGCGAAGTAGTATCCTAGCATACAGGTGGATTGCTTCTACAGTTAGAAACAATTCCACAATGAGATGCATTAAAGTGAGGTAATATAGATGCAGTTATTGATAACCGGTCACTAAGAGTTAGTTACTATCAAATACTCAATATATATTTATGAACGATACATATTCATGGAAGAAAATGCAATACCTATGTCTATAGACAATTGTCACTGTCTCGTCATTGACTAGTCGACAGTTGAAGGCGCTGATTACAGTGTTTATCATATGATATTGAACAATTCAAAGAAGACAGTTTGATTATTATTGTCTAGACGTAAAATTAAATGTATTGTACCAAAAGTTTTTTATTAATATTTCAGACACTAGTAAAGATCTGCAACTAAATCTGCATACTTAGGATCTCTTCCCCCTTCTTTCTCAACAAACTTTCGTTTTATTCTGATAAATGAGTTATACAGCCAGAGAGTACAACGAGTCATAAATAGTAAAATATTACGAGAGTAGACAACATTGTTCGATATTCGGTTTTCTCTGCATTTCTGACATTTTTAACATATATATTCTTGTTAATGGAAAAATTAATAAAATTCTAACAGCATGCAGATCAAGACGAATCCGTGGATGTTTCGTGTGTCAGAATCGTAAAATTGGTGGGGATATTAATGAATAAGCATTTGATACGTCAGGACAGCATAATATTTTAAATAAAATACAAATATATTTACAGAGATTACTTTTCGCACAGTGTTTCATGGATTCAATTGGAATAATTATTTGTTTTCATGTTAACTGGAATGTTATTTGTAATTCATTCACAATTTTATAAGTAAAACGTATTTCATGTATGTATATGTATTTTTTACGATGAATTTGAAATAGTTGTTTGAAGTGAATATTTCTCTGATCATTGATGCAACGAAATATTTGAATATTTCTTTTGTTCCTTATACATGAATAAAATTCAATCTACGAGGATTGAAATTAATAGACTAGCCATTTCTCAGAAATAATATTTCATATTATTAATTAATGTTTGTCTTTCCACTGAAACAGTGTCATCAAAAATAGTATCTGAAGTAATCAGTGCAAGTTTCGAAATGTGACAAATTATTTTACATCGTAATTTCTAATACGTCTTAAACAATCACTAGTGCAATTAATAATTCTCATATGTTTGAAATAAATAATTTCAATATACATCTATGTAATACTTTTTTCATATAAAATAAATTTTCGAACGGCATTTCACATTTTTTGTTTCAGATGAACGCAGCACAGTCATGGTAAAAAGGTTAAATTTAATTAATTTAATTCCTGTCATTTGTGGACGAAGTACTTGCTCTGAACTTTTAAGACGCTCAGCTTTGGACGAGAAATTTTATGATGTTTGGAACGAAATCACACGCTTTGAATTATTCCAGAAAAATAAGGTTCTTTGTTATTTGTTAAGAGCAAAAAATTTTCATCGTGATTACTTTCTTTCAAATGCAGTACTTTACGAATATATATTTTGTCGAATTGATCAAGATATCCAAGCTCTTATAAAAAAAATGCACATATTTATATATAATATGCATATTTGAACTATGCATTAAATATTTTTGTTACAAAAACCAAATAAACATGCATAGAACATTTACAGTTCATTACTTTCATTTAATCTAAACTATTCTCTGTCGTTTGATCGAAAATGATTAATATACGATATATTAATATTTTTAATTCGTTTCTTGCATTTCACTTGACAGGAACAATTGTCCATTCTGTATTTCTACCAAATACAGAACACAAAATAAGTTAATTATGCACTTTCTTGCCTTATAAGCTTTAAAGTGGCTGCTTTAACCATTGAGATATTCTAGTCACGAACGGACTCCTCTTCTTAAAGTCATAAGAAAATATTATCCATTTTCTAATCTACTAAAAATAAATTACATTCTAAATCCTTTCCGACTGATTTCTCGTTTTAATAATATAATAAAGCATGAAACGAAAAAACTATACTCATCAAAATCGATAGAAAAAGAAAAATTGTGCGCAAAGTACATAATTACTCAAAATCAAAGTATAGGAAAATACAGAAACTTACCTTAAAATATTGTAGTTCCAATCGTATTAATTGAAAACACGACTAAACATACAATGCCAGAAAGTCCACAATTTTCAATTATATGTCGCTATTTCCATACAACAATCTTTACTAAAGAAAAAACAAGGAAGTTGTGATTTCACGATAGTAAGACATGTAATAAGTTGCTTTAGCTACAGAAGTGGTACTTATATGCTTCATAAAACCGTCCCACCATCGTAATCAAAGATAATCATCCATACCAATGGTAATGTACCTTCATGTACGTATTCATTACAAGTATGCAAATAATAAGAGTTATTGATTTTTTATCTGTCAGTGAGGTTAACAAGTTTATCTTGTATGTAAATTGTATGTATTTTATTTAGTCGACTTAAAATGTTAAATTAAGAGTCGCTTATAATAGTTATAATAGAGA